TCTGTTGTAGCATGGGCTAGCTGAGGACCCAGGACGTTGGTTCGCTGCCCTCTCGAGTTTCTGCTAGCCGACGCACATGAGTTGAAGCTTTGCTCTACCGGCCGCCAACAACGTTACTTGTCACATCGACGCCGAGTTATAGTACCGACTAAAGGCCGCTTTATCCGCCTCGCCCCGTTCGAATGACTGCAGTGCAGATAGAGCCCAGGTCAATTCAGCCCCGGTTGTATTAAAGGCCGATCTCGCAGAGGTGTGTGCGTGACCCATTACCAAATTTGGAACGCGTATTCTCGCAACTTGGAGCCAAGCCCACGGCCCGTGGTTGACGGCACGGCATGTTGGCGCCTGCAGAACCTATCCATGTCTGTGCAGCGGATATTTTACCAAGACTGTGTACTCGGTGGGCCTGCATCAACTTCCTTCGGTCTTCAGCCAGGGTCTCGACGGTGGCGAGCTGCCTGGAGCCCAGAAGAGGGCTGAGGAAGGGGTCGATCCCAGGGTTCTGGAGCGTCGTGACGGGCCGCAACGTGATGAGACCAGCAAGTTTTGCAGCGAGATGATGGGCGTGTTGTGGATCTGGGTACAGGACGGGGATGCCCTCAAGACAGGCATTCGAGCAGGCAGGGCTTAACGAGCATGAGGGGCAAGAGCCTGATGAAATGCAGTTTTCCAGACCGAGATCCCAATTTGGCATATCCGCATCGATATTTACGTACAGATAGTTGGCCACCGCAATGGGTCGACCAATCGTCTGTGACGAGTCGTTTCGACGACATGTGCAATAGTCAGGTCTAGACACTGGAAGGAGAAAAGTTTTGCAAATTCGTATTTTCTGTCCCCATCTGGACCCTTTGAACTTGAGCAAAAAAAGGACCCTTTGCGCGTGTAGTTGAAAGTCAGTTGCCGGTCCGACGGTTTGCGGTTCAAGTTGGTATGGTCAAGTGGATTCTGGGGCCAGCTGGAGCCGCAAACGATGGGGCACGAGATAATCTAGTCTCTCGGGTGCGCTCCGTATTTGCTTATCGGCCAACCTAACCGTTGTCGTTGCCTCCACTGGAGCGGCTCTAAAGAACCAAGTTGCGATGGCTGCAAGGCCCAAGAAGAATTTCTGGAGTGTCTCCAACCGACAACCTACCCGTGTGACGGGGGTTTTGAGGCAGTCTGTCCGCACTGTATCATTAAGCCAGCTAGTTAAAGGGAGCATAATGCTAAGGAATAATATCTATCGAATGCGCAAGGCTATTACAATGATGATATAGCTCTGTTATGGGCTAATCATGATGTTATAATTATGTTATAATTGAGAGATGTTTTTAGAAGATATTATGTTGACTTTTTATCATGAAGCCATAATATAAACCCGACAGTGTGAAGCAAGTCATATGTCATACTGTCCTGAGCCCCCCCCCCCCCTTCACCCGGGTAGGAAACCAGAGAAAACCCTTCACGCCCCTCTCACCCCCGGTCGCTCACAGGCTGGGCATTGAGCGGGACCCTGCCAAGCTTTCCTGTCTTGGGTGCTCGGTGAGCCAGAGCCAGTCAATTCAGCACATGGCCCATGCAGCCACGGGGAGTGGAGGACCTGACACGCTAAAATTCCCCGGTATAAGCAAGATGACGGAGAGTGAGATGCAGAGCCAGGTTGACGGCTGAGGACCGACCAAGAATCGATCGATGTCTTCTTGCTGGGGTGATGAGCAGAGAACAGCTCATAACCCGGGATTAAAGACACTCGATGGGACTCTGAATCTGTACGATGATGGCAAAGACTCGGTTGATCCGGAGCAAGCAGCCGGTGAGCGCTGCCCAGACTCCCCAAGTAAACCCCAGCCCATGAAGCCATAGAGACATGGGTCCATATACCCGTAATCCGTGGGACCCCCCATCTGGACTCTCCTCGTCTAGGATCTCGGGGATGTTGCGGACTGGGGCCGGGCCAACTTTTGTCGAGCCGAAGCAAAGGAACGGAGAGGGGGACGACGATGGAGGCTGAAAATTTCAATCCGATGCCTGGGAATAGACAGGCTTGAGAGTAGCGCCGGGACTCGCAAGTGATCTTCATAGGTCAAGTCGCCATGTCCTCCCAGCTCTGTGACCCATGGTTGGCTGGTGGATGCTGGCTGCTGACAAGGGCTTGGGGATGGCTTCAATTCCTCCCTTCGATTGGGTTCTCCCACGATGGCTAATCGTTGGTCTGCAACGGGGCCGTTTTGAGTGTACCGAGTGCCGCTGTTTCGAGCTTGTTACGGCATGGTTATTGCCAATGACAACGGAACCGACCAAGAGCGGGTTACGTACTTGGTTGTAGATGTGACACTCTCTGATGACTCCGGAGGTTCGGAGATGCTCGTCATACCGAAGACTGACTTGCATCTACTGAAGCCGTCGCTGGCTTTCGAGGGGGGCAGTGAGTCGTATGTAGGGTCTGGGCCATTCCTTGCAGGACGTCTTGCTGCTCATCTCCAGCCATTCTTCGCCTGAGCCGGGGTGTCTTTCCATGAGTTGAGCTGCAGAGCGTAAACCGTTGGTACTAGAAACCTTCTGCGTGCGTAATGCCATGTACCGTGTGTGTGTGTGTGTGTGTGTGTGTGTGTGTGTGTTTGGCTTGCGCAAGCTCAGGCACCAGGTCCTTTCGGTCTCGGTTCGAAAAGCAACCAGCCACAGGGTTGTAGTTGATAAGACTCAACTTCAACGACCGAATTGGCGACGGGACAGCGATGATGCATGCTCTGCTGTTGTGCAGCCGAGGTGCTTGGTCGTGCACTGATGGGTCTGGCATGCCATGCCAGGGCCTGTCTGCGTTACACAGCATCGGATGCGAGTGTCTGTCTGTGACAGAGACCCAGACCCAGCGGCGTGGATCTTTTGATGAACTTTTGGAGGTTGCGATACTGCAGCGCAATATGGCATGAGTGAGGAAGGAATCACGACATTGTTCTTTTCATTCGGCTCGGAACTTCAGGTCGAGCTGTGTAGGTATGGATGACAGCATCCACACATCACTCGGCCGGGCATCGGCACTTGACCCCTCATCGTATCGAAACAAGCTCACACCCTCTGACTCGCCTTCCCGTATCGGTGTGTGTCCTGTGCTTGTGTGCTGTTAGCCATCTCATGAGGTGCAATCGTGGAAGGGGCGTTTTCTGCGCACGGTAGTTGGCTCGGTTGGCTTGTTTGGATGTGAAGCCATGCCATGTCACTCCCCCTTTATCAGCCATTTCTTAGGTAGGTCTACACAGCAGTATCAACCACTAAAAGTCCCAATGGCGAAGCTTAACCTTGACATCGGCATTCGACTCGTCCCCCTCCCACGAGATAACCGTGCTGAAGACAACCACGAGGGAGCTTTGACGCCGGGCATTATCTGAACCCGGCAGAGTGCAGAGCGTCATCTAGCGCTGGGCCCGGTGCCAGGCTAGCCCGCTCCAGTTACCCATCAGGTGCAGGCGGTCGAGTGAGTTCCCTTCTTCCAGGCGGATCGCTAACCCGCCTTGAGAGAGTTACATTTACAGTTTCACCACCAGCGCAAGTTGCAGCTCAGTCTGTTGGTTGAGTTCAGCGCAGTCGAGAGCAGATGCTTGTTATCTGCTAGCAAGCAGGCCTTATCCTAGCCCTTGTCCACACCTCATACCTCCTTCCGATGCAGGCGGTTGCACTTGTACCGAGGCTCACGGCAATTGAACGATCCAGACATCTACATGTTGTGCGCGCCGCAGACATGCACCGACCGTACAGCGGGATCCTCGACGATCTCTCCGAGTCTCCAATTGTCCAATGTTACGCGAGAGAAACCACACACAGACCAATTCTCTTCAAGGGACCCTTGACACTGTCGCCCCTCACTCTCTCCAGAGCCCACAGGCCCAGGCCCAGGCGTGCCAGGCTAGGCTAACCGGGGTGGCGGAAGCAAGCTCGTGCTTTTAGCGGATGCACATGGATGGTGCATTGGTGCAGCAGCGCATCATGGCCACCATGTTTCTTGGTGTGGGTGCAGCCGATGCAGGCCCAGCGCGAGCTGCTGAGTGGTCGACCTGGACGAGACAGGAAAAGAGGCGGATGGTGTATGACTGAATGGCTGGGTCTTGGTTCGGATATAACTTGAAAAGCTTCCCTTCCCACGCGGCCTCTTTTTGATTTTTCCTTTTCGTCTCGAGCTTGTTTGCTTCAAGCCCTCTTGTCGAAATCGTCACGACAATCAGCCTCACGCAGCATTTCGTCAAGGATTGAAGTCGGAGAGATTGACTCTTGTTTCTGGAACCAGGAGGAGTGTCAACCGCCAATCTAGAAGACACGCCCACTTACACTCAGACACTCACTCAGACACTCACACACACCCTCTCCGTCACACACCGTTTGTCTTGTTGACGTTGCTTTCTCTGGCTTGCTTGGAATTTCGAGGGTTCATTCCGCCTCGAACCTCTTTTGCCTGCCCGCATCTCATTCTCATCGCTTCACGCGCATTGCATCGCCGTTGGCGTCGCGACTATCTGATAAACCAAGATTCTGCCTGAAACGGTGAAATCTCCCGAGGCAATACCACAGCATCAAATCTGTGTCTGGCGCCCCATCTGGTGTGGTGAATCTTGACCGTCTGTCTCTGCGCTGCCTCTTATCTTTCCCCGGAGTTGCTTCTTTGCCTGGAGCATCCATCTATCTATCGATCGGTATCTCCATATCAGCAACTGGCCATCCTTGTCAGAGGATTGAGTTCCTACATACATATCCATATCTATCCATCCCCAGACGGATCAAACAGTTGTTGATAAGAGACGCCATCTGTGCAGCTCCCCCCAAACCAGCCAAGACAAGCCAAGACAACGCCCGCACGCAGGGGTCTCTTGTGCTTTTGACCAATTCAAGCCGGCTTCAACTGGCTCTCTCCACAAGCACAGACTCCCTCTCCCCCGGTCCTGCTGAAGCGGCCTCTTTACGGCACCTAAAAGGTTGCTTTTGGGACTTGCCCGGCGCCCCATCGGCCGTCCTATCGCCATCGTCAGGATCAGGCCTTAATCTCTAAATCTCGAGGTGGGCTGTGTCTCGTCCCGAGCAGGGGAAAGCAATCGGGTACGTACGTACGTCATTCCCTTTCTCGTTCCCTCCAGTTTCGCATGGGCCTCAGCTCAGTTGAACTCGGACGCCTTCGTTCCTTTCATCCCCTGCCTGGTCTTTCATTTTTTCCTCGCCAACCAGCCAATTGTCAACCAAGTCCGCTTTCTATTTGCCCTCCTGTTTTCACCTCAGAAACAAGAGCCCATTTTTACAGATCTTGTCTTGCTTTTCATCCACCGTCCATTCCGCTCACGACTCATTATTTCCATATAGAGTATAAGAAGCAACCTCGCGCCGCCTCGTACTCGCAGTTTGGCCTGGTGTTGAGCAGCACACCTTCCGCTCGCTCCTCCCGCTGATCCCGACTCGATTCTCCCTCTGCGAGCTCTCCGACCTCCCCAGCGCGTCGCATCCTTCTGCGATTGGATTGGGGGGCAACGATTGCGAGTAGCTTGAGGGAGACGATTTCGATCGTCCATTCCTTTATCCGAATAAACCGACCCCAATTGGCCCCGACGCCTCTTGGCTTATATTGGTCCAAACATGAAGTTTGGCCAGCATCTCGAGCGGGAATCCGTTCCCGAATGGAGTCTTCGTACGTCACCGATGTCGGCCCTGTTGTGCTTCATTATCTAACATCGATTGCTTCCACCCAGACAACCTCGATTACAACTCGCTCAAGCATGAAATCAAAGTACATACAACTCGCGACCAGGCCAGCGCCATGGCCATCCCCGGCCACAAGGACGAGGCCCTGACGCGATTCGAGGATGGATTGTACATGGAGCTTGGTCGCCAGCATGAGCGCCTGCATCTTTTCGTCTGCAGCAAGGCCGACGAGATCTCCCGGCGGTTAGGTATGCCCAACTGCCACATTGTGCCATGTCTCAATGGCACGCGATCACATGCCCCAAGCTGACAACCAACGCCAGAACACCTTGCCAAGAGTATTAACCGATGGGCCTCCAAACCTCAAGACCAGCTGACGGAGGATTCGGCCATTAAGCACCAGAGGAGATTTGCCAAGTACGAGCGGGAACTGCTTCGTTGCGGAGGCGACATTCAGGCCCTGGAGCGTTTCGTCAAGGCCCAGACTGTCGCGTTCCGCAAAATAACCAAGAAGTACAAGGTATGGCATCATCGACTGCGCCCTATGCTTTGTTTGACGTTTACTGACTTGGCTGAAGAAATGGACCGGCTCCACGACCCTCGGCGCCCGTCTGTACGAGAACATCCTCTCGGATCCCAAGAGTTTTACCCGCCGCGACTTTTCTTACCTCCAACAGCGCTATGACGAAATTACATGCACTCTTCACGCCGCCGCCCCCGTCCTGAGCGAGCCCAGCTCCCCTGAATCCTTGGCCCAATCCTATCGTCGTAACTCGCTGGGCGCCTCTTACAATTCCAACGCCTATCCTTCAGAACGCCCGTCCAGCCGGCCTCGCCCCGAATTTGATGTCTTGCCGCCTCCCCAAATACCAGAGCGGGTCAAGTACTGGAACGAATATGACGATGGCAGCGAATGCGCAGGCGATGATGATGGATATGCAATTTATATTAACCCAGACGACGATACAAGCTTTCCGGGATTCGACTATTTACACAATATCTTCAAGGGCCCCCTCGAAAAGGCCAAGGGTTGGTTCAAAACCGACCGGCATGGAGAACGACAGTCTCTCCTCGGTGCCAACCACTCGCCGAACCAGTACTCCAGCACCACCTTCAACAGCGAATCTGATGAGGAAGGGGGATACGCCAGCTCGGACGGGTTCCCTGCGGCTGGTTATGCTACCCACTACGCCCTCCCCAGCCTTAGTCAACAGGAGGCGAGCCGATATCGCGAAAAGACCTTGTTCTGGGGCACCGTCTGTTCCTTCGCCGTATCCTATCTTCTACTCCTAATCGCCGGCACCCTTATCTCTACAGGCCGACATAGGCTTCGTGTCGAGGTTGATGCTGGCGCCACTGTCGGTGTGGTTGCCAGTCTGTTCTCTGCGTGCGGCGCTCTGGGTATGACACTATATCGACGTGACCCGCTGTCACTCCCTTATCAGCTGCTGGTCTGGGTCGCCTTTATCTCGGCCTGTCTCCTCAACGGCATCCTGCTGATTCTTGTCGTGGGGAACGCCCCCTGACGTCGTGCTGACGTTAGGGCATAACCTTATTTCTCTTTTCTCGTCCGTTGTTGATACCGGTGCCAGAAGACTGCACCATGATTTATATACTTGTGTGGACTCATTGAGTTGGTGTTTGGCGTTGAGCGCATGCCACATGGAAAGCGTGGTTGTTGTTGTTGATCCCTTCGAGTTCGAGCGGATAGTGCGAAAGCAGCATGCATACGTTGTTGACGATACGAGCGTTGTTGTTTTGACTGATGCATCGCTTTTGTTTTGTTTATTGCACGAGATTTCATGGCGGAGAATAGATTGTGATGAAACCTCGCGGTGGTTGAGCGGCTAGCGGAGCGATGATGAGGCTCAGGGCGTAGCTTTAGTTGAGTTGAATAGCAGCGATTTGCGTGCCCATTCTCTTGGTAACTCGTGCAACAGTGAACCGCGCAAGCATAAAGGTAGAGAGTAGAAGATGGTGATGTGGGTCCGTTCAACTATCATCAAGTCAGTATATGGATGGATGTTGATATATTTCATCTAGAGGTTGTAACTCACTCATTCAGGAAACACCACTGAGCGCCATCGGCTTCTGCCAGGAACAGTTCGACCTTGCTGACAAGTTGTCCTAAATAACATGGTTAGATGCTGAGTTTTACTGGACTAAGAAGTAGCTAGTTCTCACCTGCAACGCCCCATCTCTTGGCAAAGAAATGCAACGACGAATAGATGTTGTGGAACCTAGTGTCAGCCTCCGGGATGAGATGCTCAAAGTGGCTGAGGACCATGAGGCAGTGGAAAGCTGAGTAAGGGGTGACAGGAGAGCAAGGGCCTAGGAGGTGCGGGCGGCGGGCAAGCTGGTCGTTGAGATCAGTCGTAGTGTCGGCGATGATACGGATGGTGAAGTTGAGACCAGCAATGGCCTTGGGAGCGATGTCGTCTGCAGCTGAAGAGGGAGAGAAGGGGCTGGCGGCGGACATGGTGTTGGCGGCACGGAGCTGACGACAATAAAGGAAGAGGAGGAGGCTTTTAAGTGGAAAGAGTGTTTGTTAGTGTCATGTGGTCAGGGCGAGGAAGCCATCGTCGGTCTGAGGCAGGCGACTTCAGGGGTAAGTTTGTTCACTTACCAAGTACAAGTCGCAAAGCACTCATAAAAGTCTCCCCAGCGAGATTGCTGCATGACCATGGCCTCGACGAGGGCACGAGTTGAAATGTCAAGCTCAACGAAGTCGTCGAGCAGGGCATCAGCAGCGCCCGGCTGGCTGGGGGAGAAGGCCTTGGAATAGAGCATGGCGCACTGGCAATTCCTCTGGAAGGGACCCAGAGGCACTGAGGGCGCAACACTTGCGGGGTGGCGCTGAATGACGCGAGCGGGCTGTTGGCTTTGATTGTTCCAGACGAGGTTGGTCGTCGGGAGAAGATCATCAGCAGCAGGAGAGGGCACCTGCAGCGGCATGCGGGTGAGGGAGCAGTCGACGTGGATGAGACGGTCGAGCACGAGGAGGCTCCAGTAAACGCAGCGACGCTCCTCCTCATCGTAGGGGACATGGGCATCCTGCTCGGCCTCGATGTATTTTCCGGGGCTGATGCGCAAGGCAAGAGCCATGGTGTTTGCATCGCCGATGGTGACATAGGCTCGCAGCACGTCGCCGTGACCAAACTCGAAAAGAGCGAGGAGGATGGTGCACTGGACAAGCTCAATGCTAGGAGCAGAAAGGCCACGCAGGACACTGAGGACACGCTTTGCGGCACGGTAGGCGGGCATCTCCATCATGTCCTTGCCTTCATTGACGCTGGTACTGGCAGCAGCAGCCTCGTCGTCGTACTGAGAGACGAGCTGCATGCAGACAATGAGGAGGGCGACGGCCGGGTCCCGGGGTCCCGCATCGGCGGCGGAGCTCGGGCCAGCCCCGGAGCCGGAGCCGGAACCAATGGCATCAGCGCGCAAAGCGAAGAGCTCCGGGTGGACGACAGAGAGCCAGGGGTTCATGGTCTGAAAGTAACGCTCAGTGGCCTCGCGCCAGGCAATGTTGCGCGAGGACAGAAGCGACATGATCATGTTGCTGGATACATCAAAGGCCGGGTCAAAGACACCAGGGCCGAAGGTATCCTTGGATCCCAGGAGATAACCCGGGTCTACGACGGCGGTTGTCGGTGCCGTGTAGATGAAATCATAGGAGCACGTGGTGGTGAGCCTATTGAATGGGTCGGGTCAGTACGGGATTCCAGAAGTGAGAGAGAGTACAGCAGAGAAGGATTGAGCGGGACAGGACAGGACAGGACAGGCCTACGCACCTGGTACAACGGGAGCATGCAGGTAATGCCTTGTCGCATTTCTTTTTGGTGCGAGTGCACTTTTCACAAGCTCGATGAGCACGTTCGGGCTCCATTGGAGATTCGGAGCCCCGTGACGAAGACACGGAGCGAGACATGATGTTTCTCGTTCTTCGATCCGTGGTGAAGGATGGTTGACCCGTGTAGGCGGGTATAGATATGTTTCTTTGGTATGGAGGTCAAGTACTTGGACTTGACTTGGTGTAAGTGCTGACGGGGTCTGACAGGGCGGCAGGATTATGTCAGACAAGGAGGCAGTTGATGAGATACAAGGGAGCAATATGTATAATCAGCGGTGATATATATATATTGTGAGTACAGTAGATTTGGAATTGATAGACGAATGGATGAGTGGATGAGTGGTGAACACGAGAAGGGAAGCCATGGGGACGGGGGAGGCGAGGGCTATTTGAAATATCTCGACGGGAGTCTGAGGGATGAGATGAGGCAAATCAAGGAAGGTCAAGGAAGGCCCATCCTCAAAGGCCGTCTGTCGATATCGTTGAGGACGGGACACCAGGGCCTGGCACCGCGATGGAGTTTGCCGTCCGCTGCAGATGCCAGCCCCAGCCCGGGAGATGGACGCCCAGGGCTGCCGGCTGCCAGGACGGTAGTGGAGGCCAGACCAGGCCAGGCCAGGCCGGGTCCGGGGGGAAGTGATTGACAGGGACGGGGAGATATGACGTCTAGTGGGTTAGTCAGCTGCTGACGGTCGATCACAAGTCGAGGCTGAGTGTGGATTTGGAAGAATGAGGTAAACAGATGTTGGAGAGAGCGAAGGAAGGAATTCGTAACGACAGATAGGAAGAGAAGGAGATGGATGGGCAGGGGGGGAATAGAAAATAGAGGTTCAGGCTAGGAAGAATATGGAATAAGTTGGAAGGGGTGAGAGGAAATTAAAAAAAAAATAGGAAAATGCAAAACAGAGGGTAAAATTAATTGCAGGATAGGTACCTACCTAGGTCAGTAGTAGGTAAGCGGAGAGGTAAGGCTGCCACCTACCACTGCATGCCGTACGGTGCTGTACCTACCTAGTGTGCGGCGATTAGGTAGGAAAGGGAAAGAGTATGGGGGAGGTACCCAGCTGGCTGAGAAAGGAAGGCACCTGGCAGGAGATGAGGTAAAAAAAAAAAAAATTGATATTACCCAAAACGATCTAGAACGGGAGTCAACTCTAGAATGGAAAAGGACGTGGACACGAGCATGATTGATGATGATGGCAGCTCTAGTCGCGATAACTAAAGTCGATTAGTTAAAGCGGTATAAGCATGGCATCATCCGACAGGATTAAGCACTTGCAGCCATAAACCCAGGAATACGGATAGCTAGTACTGTATGTAGAAAGACTCGGGTTGCAATCCATGAGCCACCTGCTGCACTGCAAGAGAAGGGCACGCGCGCGGTCCGAGCCAAAGCAAGCAAGGTTCTGGCTCCTCCTCCCTCGTTCTCCCTGATTCCCTTTCTTTTACCCAGCAAATGGATCATGTCCTTTCCCCAAAATCGATCTAAAATTCCCCGGGGGTTGGGTTTTGGGGGGTGGAGAGGCAGTGGGTTGGCCATTGAGGTGACGACCTCTCAGCCCAGTGAGGCCATGGTGTGGATGCCAAACCAACCACTCAAGTGGGACTGGCCCTGCGGCAGACGGAGTACGCGTAGAGGGGAGAGCAAGTGATGGATAATCATGCCTAAGCAACCATGTTATCCCGACCAGGGCGATTGACAAGCTGATGACAAGATAAACCACCACCCACGGCCACGGCGATCGCGATCTGTAACCCATCATCTGCATCTCTACAATATCCATTTTCAAAGCACTTATCAAGCATCCTCAAAACATGACGACAAGGTTATTTTTCCCACGCCTTCCCCAGGTTTCGTCTGCTTCTCTTGTCAGAACCTTCTAATTCTTACCAGCTCGTCGGGTGCTTATGGCATGCTTGCATCATGGGAAGCGAAAAGCAGATATTAGCCCACTCGTCACTGGCTACTGCACGCATGAGACGACACTCGTTTGTTTCCTTAATCAAATAGCGGGCGATCAATGCATAGTCGGGTTCCGACTTTGCTTTAATTCTCGGTTCCATGGCGTCTGTTTAGGAAACGAGTACGAACACCAAACTTGATTCAAGAAAATCACTCTCTTTTCTTTATTAGCGCATCACGTATAACCTATTCCACCAAACGAAAACCCTCGCTTCCTTTTTTTTTTTCCCTCAGCCACAACACAAGGATTCCTAGTACCCTCGATAGATCCATCCCGTGATCTTGGCATCCGGGCCGTTTTTTTACGAGCCGAGATGCGGGAAACCTCGTTTTCTCGACTCAATCATCTCCACTTGATGTGAAGCGACATGACAAAGACTTCAACTGACGGTAAATTCCTTGGAAACGGTCAAGCTACTGTCTCGTAAAAACGCAAGCTCCCCTCTATTTTTATCCATTTGACCCAATTGGGCTGCAGTTGAGTTGCAGAAAGGGCTCTATCTCGATGGGCTGTGTAACCATTGCGGCTGAGCCTCAGTAGTACGTAGCAACGATGAAACACCATGATTAGCAGCTGAAACTTGGAGTCGAGAGGATAGTTGTCCTCAATCATTGACAACTTTCAATTGTTTGAATTGAATATCTCCCATTCTTCCACTTCAAAGAACTTGTGTATATTCCCTTCCTACAATATACAATCTCACACCGTTGACTCATTCGGTGAGAATCACATCCAATTCTGGCAGGTGACAGTGGAGGCCAATCAACCAACCAACCAACCGCACTCTTTTTTTTTTTGTTTGTATTTTAAATCCATCCATAGAAAAAAGAAGACGCCTTCCCGCAACTCAATTGATGGTCTAGAAGCCAATTGATCGAACTCAAGCTTTCTGACATCCATTCCAAAGACCGGCTTGTTAGCGTGACGGGCGCCTCTACTTTGCAACCGCACGCGTTTTCTACTTGTGCATGATATGATTGTTGATCTCACTACCTAGGAATTGGTCAACTCATAACACGCATTTCGCAAAATAAACTCGACTTGGTGGTTTGTGCGCGCAAAGACTCCTCCATTTCCTCCAAAACCGCTCTCGAGGATATTATACAGAGACAAAGCCTTGGCCAAGCGCTACCTCAACCCCTCAACACCATAAATCAACTCCTCAGACCATCACCAACTCTACCGCCAAGATGCCCTCAACCTACTGCATCCGCCCCGGAACATTTTCCGACGTCGATGACGCCGCCATGCTCTACACCCAGAGCTTTGCAAACGAGGCTCTTCTCGACTACATGTTTCCCGACCGTGCCGTCGACCCAACTGCCTTCCACACATGGGTCTCCCGCCGCTTCTGGATGCGCTATTGGACGCCCGAGTATGTCCTTACCATACTCGATGCTTCCGACGGGAAGGGAAAGGTCAAACCTATGGGCTTTTCTTGGTGGCACCGCCCAACTGAGTCCCTTTCTTTTCGCGAGCGATGGTTATCTCCTTGTATGTATCGCCACATCTTCCACTTACTGACTTAAACACTGCTAACTCAACTCCACAAAGATGCATGGCTTGCTCCCTTCATGCAGTCTCTGCTCAACCTCCAGTCTTACATCGCCCCAATCCCCGGTCTCGACCATCACCGCGTCACCATCTACGACCGTGTCTTCGCCACTCTTGAGCCCACCATTCTGCACTCTGCTCGCCGCCGCTCTGCCTGGTATCTCTCCAGTCTGGGTGTTTCGCCCAAATTGCAGGGCAGCGGCTACGGTTCCTTGCTGCTCCGCGCCGGCCTGCAAGAGGCCGACCGTGCCGGCGTCGCCACCTGGCTCGTGGGCTTGCGTGGTCTGGATGACTTCTACTCCCGCTTCGGCTATGTCGAAGTTGCGAGGGCCAATGTTGGAGAATTGAAGGATTGGGATGGTGGTGTTATCATGTTCAGGGGAGAGTGAACCAAGCCAAGGAACGCTTGGTCAGGCCCCGGGGACATCACACTGGAAGGCAATATGTACCTAGGTAGTTATCGACCGCTGATACCAAGATAATTCAATTGCACACTTTTTGACCTTTCGGGCGCTGAGAACCCGACTATCAATCCTAACCGAAGCTCTATCTCTACCTCGCCCCCATAGCAATTGGTATTGTCCCTGATCCTTTCCATCATCGGAAGCCCCTGCAAGTTCAGGAGCGGACTACCGTACGAATTCCAGAGACCCCCCAACTCCATTACCATCCATACCAGTCCCTTCCTTTACAGCCTTTCCCTTGTTCCATTGTGACCATCCATCAATTCGTTGACCGTCATTCATGCGCTGAAGTGAGTCGAATACATAAAACCGAAATGCAGAAACCGGACCCCTGACAGAGACCGCGCGAGTGCCGAATAAAAACCGTATCCCCTTACTCATACAATTCTTAGAAATCAAAGTCTCTGGCTGACCGAAGTGCCGAGAAAAAACCAGTCCCCTGTCGTAAGCAATGCCGGCAACCGGCTGCGACGAGAACAAAGCAGTTTGCCGTGAAATCCCGTGCCAAGTCGTGGTCGAGATGCTATTTGAAATGCTTTCTTGCCGGGTTTCCGAATTCCATATCCATCGTAGTATTACTCATCGTCGCCAATCGGTTCGTCTGGCTGGTAGCCAGAATGATGACCACGGGAATGGCTGTCGTCAAATTCGCCCATGCCACGATGCTGACGGCAACCGGGGCTGTGAGAAACAGTCGCCTCTCGGTCAGGCGAGTAATTTCCCGAGCGTTGACGCAAGCTGGGGGAACCATCCTCATAACCGTGGGCTGCAGACTGCCACGGAGCCTGGTTCACGGTGCGGCCGGCGCCGACGTTCGATCCAGCTTCTTCATTGTACCAGGCAAGATCCTGAGCCTCAAGAGGCTGCTGGTAGGCACTCGACGGCCCCCCCGACATCGACAAGAGCAGCAAAGCATCCTGATCTGCCGCACTAACCCGAGAGCGGGGGGCCAATGGCTCGCGGTAGTACCGTTCGTCCTCTTGAACCCGTGCCGGGGCAACCCGCTGAGGGTGGTTGAAGTAGATGGGCGGGGTCTGGTATTCACCTGGTGTACCATACAGGCCATGGGCTTCACGAGTGCCCAGGTTACCGTAGCCTGCGGGATGCATCTCATAGCCTCCCTGTGGCATTATTTCCGAAGTGTTCAAATAGCTCGAGTGTCTGTCAATCAGCATAAAATCAGTTGGGCCACGTTGGCCGCCACCTGTATAGGTGCCCGGAGCATGAAACATGCTATCGTGTGATCCTCGGGGATCGCTCGCTGGAGCCTGCAGTTGATAATTAATACCGAAGTGATTCAGTGAGGGCTGTGTTGGGTTCTGACTGTCATAATAGGGGGCGCTACCGCGTCTGTCGGCAAACGCAGCCACGCCAGGGTCGATGAGGGGGGATCTGGCTCCGAACCCGTAGTTGGCCGTGTGGCTGCGTGCATCATCGGCCTGCTGCTGGTTGTGATGACCAGGCCTGAGCCCGTACTGGCGATCGTCAAAAGTCGCGGGGGGAGTGGGCGACGAAAAGGTCTCGCTGCTGCGCTCGCTCATGGACCCTTCCTCTTGGACCGGTTCGAGGGGTGAAGAGTCCTTGACAAAAGAGATGGGAGACTCTGTCGCCTCTCCAAGCTGTCCCAGGCGACCAGGCCGGTTGATGGCTGACGCGTCAACCTCATTGGAACTCTCGTGGTTGATGTGAGTGGAGAGCTGGGCAGGAACGTTGGTGTAGGCGTCGACAACTTCGGGAAGAAACTCCACAGGGGGGACATCCTTCAGGATACCTTGTTGAATCTCATGGTGGAGGCGTTCAACAATATCGAGGATCTCGTCATGAGTCTTGCCATCTCCAAGGCTCTGAACAATCCATCGAGGCACAAGGTCCCGTCCGTTGGTGTCAACGAGTCGCTTAAGCTCCCGCTTGCGGATCGAAAATGTCCAAGATCGGATGGTAATGGCCTCTTGGTTGACTCTGTTGGCGCTTTCCAAACCTCGGCTCCAGAAGATCATGCGAACAATCTGCTCATAGACCATCCCGATCTGCGTCACGCTAAAGTCTGCACCCTTGCGGTATCGCATTCGTTGGTAATGCTTGCGGCACATGCAAACCCAGACTCGTTCAGGGATGCGGCGAGTGCAGACCTTGTTGCGACCAAAAAGGTGGGAAATGACCTTTCGTGGGACGGAACTTGTGGTACAGTTCTCGACTGCCATGCAAATATCGCCTCCTTCGAGAGGCTTGTTCACTTCCACCTTTCTGAAGCGGCGGCAAGCTGTGAGGACGCGATCGTTGGGGCCAGCTTGAGGCATAGCACCGCGAGAAGCAGCTTCACAGAGTTAGTCGAGTCTCGAGAACATAGAAACGGGAGAGCAGGTACCTTGAATCTCGTTGGCGGACATGGTTCTCTCGTTATCGTGAATCTCACGCGAAGGAGACCTCGTGGCCATACTAGCAGCTGGAGAGATCTCTTTCAGGCGGCACCACTGATTGTGCTCGGAACCTGCACGTTGATGAGTGATGCTGAGGCGAGGCGATGGCGACAATGTTGCCTCGAAATGCCCGGATGCGAGCGACGGCAAAGTCGTAGGGATGCGAGCGAAAGCTAAAGCAGAGCTTTGAGGGGGGTTGGGTGCAGAGATGGTACGCTTATGGACACGGTCCAAAGAATGCAAGAAGTGGTCTCTGGGCCTGAAGTTGCTGCAGGAAAGAAGTCAGCGTGTGCTCAAGGACTCGATTTATGGTGAAAGATCGAGAGCAGACAGTGCGCCAATGAGAGGGTTTGAAAAGGGCAAACAGCAGAGTAGCCGAGTTATGTTCGGTGAAGAAGGCGTTTGCTCAAAAGGGTTTCACAATAGAGGACGGTGGGAGTCACTAGGGGGTGATAAACAGCCTTGGGTTTTGTGAGGACGGCTTGTGGCAGTGATGCACAGACGAGAGCTCTCTTTCTAGCCACGCAGCCTTGACAACCCCAGCGGCCAGCCCTTTACGGCAGTGCTGCAGTAGGCAGCTATTGTTCTCGTGACAATAGAAAATAGCCCCATTTGCGATTCACTGACGTCAATAGCGGCAGGTGAGCGCCAGCGGACGGTCGAGTCCACTGATAGGAATTCTCGGATCCTGAGCTCGAAAAAATGCCTCTCCTGCCTATTCACGGAGCATAACATCGGACGGGTCTCTCATAGCTGGGTTGGTTGAGATGGGATAAGGGGGCGGTGTGGCGGCACGGTTCTGAAAACAACAAGAAAACAACTCACCTTTGGTCTTGAGATAGATGACCACGCCTACGCTTCATCATCCGAGCCTCCAAGAGTGAGTCAGATGGGCTGCTGGAGGATAATGACCCAGCGGGTGTTGCTGCAGCAGCTCGGGGCAACTGGACCTCTGGCTTGGGAGAAGGTGTAGGGGCAGCTGGTGGCGGAGGTGCTGTCAGTCTCGGGAGACGTTCCAGTTTAGCCTCCAAGTCGGCGATTCCAGAACCCAAGTGGTGGCTCCCATTGATGGTTGATATAGAAGAGATCCTCGAGTGCCCAGCGGAGAAGGTCGATGAACAGCAAGACGAGAAGCTGCTACGACTATCCGAGATCTTGTGGTTTCCTGTACCAGGGGTCACACTGTAATCAGTCCAAACGCTGGATCTTTACCAACATTAGCACACGAAAGCTCAAAGAAGGGAACAAGAGGAAGGGCCCCGAGATTATTGGGATCGCAGGTATTGAAAAGAGAAGGAAAGATGCTGACCTCCTTGCGTGATGTGAAGGGCGGACTTCACTGTGTTGGCCGATCTGTCAGACGAGACTACGAAATACAATGAGGGGCTTTGGCCAGGACTGGCCTAAATGAAGGACGTGGAACCTACTGCGTTGAAGTCCATGAATCTTGCTGAACATCTGGAATGGAATGCATCCTGCGTAACATCATATCAGATTCCATAATTTGTGGTAATTCAACCGGTGGGAAGTTGCTGCCTACCGAACTGGTAAAGAGTAAGGCGTTGCGACGCCGGGAGACACCGCAGTTGTTGATGTTTCCATAGACATCCGTCGGGAGTGGTAATTGGAATCGGCTGATGCATCGGTAGGTCTCGCAGTGTCCCTATGGTCTCTCGGTGAGAGAAAAGCGAAGGACGGTCGCGAGGAAGTGTTAGAGCTGGGTTCTCTGGGTAGAGAGTAGCCGCCTGCATCCCAGGGAGTCCGGGTTCGACTGTCTGGTTGTCCACTGGCTGTTTTAGAGGGTGCGCATTCTGGAGAAGGAGTTGGTAGCGAGAAATAAGGCCCCTCTGGACCATTATTCGAACCAGATGGCGATGTTCTGTTCCCATTGCTTTCCACACTAGGCCCTAGCCCCGTGGACTGGTTGAGGATCGATTCAATCTTCATGGCTGAGGACGATGCCGAAGTATGTTTAAAGAATAATGGATTAAGATAGAGTTGTGAGATTCTGGGGGTGTTAGGCGCGGATACTGTTTCCAGTTGATTAGGAACGGAACTGACACAGGAAGTCGACAAGATGGCTGTAGTGTCGAGCGAGGTCTGGTTCCGTCGTAAGGGATAGTGGTAAAATGGTACAAACGATTATTGTCTCATGATAATAGCTGAAGCGTGCTAGAAACGGTTCGATCTCGTCCCGGGGTAATTATTGATTAGGTTAACAAGCACTCCATAGAACCAAGAGGCTGATCGGACGGAGAGGAATAGAGATCGATGGGTGCTTGAGGATTCGATCTGATGAGCTCCAAGGGGTCGTCCGTTCTTGTATGCTGTCCACAAGACTGGGATGCTGGCTCGTCGCTGAACAATGTGAAACTTGGCAGACGGGTCTCTTTCGTATTTCGATGCGGGAGTGAAGGATGGTAAAGGCGGCAGCAGCGTCAGATAAATAGAATCTGACCCGCTTGAATCGAAGAAGTCGGCTGTCGATCTGTTCAAGGGCCAGGGACTTTCAGCTCAGTACGTGTTGGATATGGTCTCCGAAGCTCTAGATCGTCGGAGCCGTTCCGTCTCGAAGATATCGACTTTAATTAAAGACGGAGTCTGACAGGGAAGAAGCCCAGAGATGAGTTGCGGATACAGAAGCGAGCAACATTCAACGGTTTTGGTTCAGGTAGGAAAAAGAAAGAGATGAGACGAATCTGCCACGACAGGAAGGCAAGTCGCCAGACGCTATGACTAGATGGACAACGCATGAAGTGGTCGGTAGGGTTCGAAGACGGTAGTCGTTTGGGGTTGGGGTTGGGGTTTGGGGGGGTCGAGAACAGAGGGCTGAATGGGTGTGGATCAAGAAGACAAGGAATCGCCCAGGATCAGGGTCTTCCACAAGACGTATGGATAAAAGCTAGACTGCCTAGGGTCTGTGTTCAGCAAGAGGAAAAGTCGCGATCGCAATCCTGGGATGTAGGGGGCCAGGAAGACCAAAGCGTTAGCCTGCAGCGGGAACCAGCATCATCATTGTAACGGGCCAGACTAAGACTGCGGCAGTCGGTCCTGTCCCGGTAGCACAGACACGGTGCCGCAGTGCATAAAGTGTCGATGGCCAGAGGAATGCCATTCTGGGGCCATCTGGTCAGCTTCTTCAGCGTGCTCTCGGGCAGCCGTTGAGCCATGGGTCGACTCGCTCTACTAGGTAAGACAGCGCTGGGACAGCCCTAGTATCGTGGCGCCAAGGAAAGACCGCAATGGAGAACTCAAGAAGCAGCCGAGCCAAGCGAGGGCCACCCAAGATTGACTACCTATTGTTTTGCCGGCAGTTTCGAGTGACGGAGCACCCTTGTTGGTTAAGCATGACGGGTCGTAGATCATGGCGTTGAAAGCCCCGTCCGAACCATGATCTCCACAAGGGAATAAATTGTCCGGACAGGGTCAAGGAGTCAAAACAAGGAAAGGGCCAACTCGGCCAGGGCCACACCCAAGCCGGGCGGGCTATTGGGCTGAAGGTGTCAAAAGATGGATATCCCACATCAGCTCAGCGACAGCACCCCTTTTCCAGAGCTGCTGCACTCGGAGAGGGTCACCGAGAGGCGCAGCCGCCTATCCACCTGCAAGCCGATACGTGCTCTGATGCGTGAAACTTTTCCCAGGGGTCCTGGGTGCCTCAGAGTGTTCTAAAAGTGGTTGTGTGCCACGGGGCCGGAGTCTGGGGATGTAATCCATGCCCTACCACCAGAGAAAGGACTGACAGGCACACAACCGCTGCAACATCACAGACAGGCCTGGGTGCCCGCTGTAGAGGACGCCCATGTACTAGTCGACAGCTGGTCGGGAGATACCGAGACTGGGCGTTGGGGATGGCCCTGGGTGGCATCTTGAGACCCGGCGGATCATCTAGGTTAATGAAGACGCGGTAGCGGGGAGCTGCACGGCAGAGCATGGGCAGCCGCTCCGCGCAGCCGTCGGCCGCGGCGGCCAGGCTTTCGGCCATTGTCTTGATGTGATCCGCTACCGCATCCTATGCCATGACTCCGGCAAGTGTAGGTGCATTATCCGCTCAGCTGCCGTCTCCTCATGGCATGATGATTAAGACAGTTCTGACCAAGTTGAAGCGGCCCATCTGATCACGGCATTCGAGGTAATGGTTGAATTGTGTTGAAAACGCCAAGAATAGCAATGGAGCTGTGCAAACAGCCACGCCTCCCACACACCAGTCTGGCAGGCCGGGCGAAGGCATTGCCTGTCTGGGACCAGTAACAGAAAGCCGCAACGCCTAGGGCGGCTGTCATAGATCTGGGGGACAAATAAGGTGATGGGATGATGCCGGTTGACTTAATTTCCGTAACTCGATCGCGTTACATTGCACACCGCAGTGTGGGCTTCTTCCGGCTGGTCGAAGCTTCAGGTGACAACTGGGTCAAAGAAGTCTTTTTGGTAAGTGCCCATCACCATGGGGTCGATTAGCCAGCCGGGCTGGAGAACTAGGGTTGATTGGGCAGGCTGAGAGACACAAAGACAACCGTGGGCCTCATCGATGTGGATCGCATCGTACGTAGGTATAAACGAAGTACGGAGTACGGAGCACGAAACTAGGCTCGACGTTGGCGAACAATGCCAGTGGTGTTGAAAATGGGAATGACGGGGGTCGCAAGCTGCTCCGGGTCGGGATAGCATGCCCCACGCCTCATGCGCGAGGTGTCGCAGGCCAGGATCCAGGACGATGCTGCCGGAGAGGTGCCAGGGATGTCATGGCAGAGATAGCAAAGGTTCGGCTTGTGGGAGAGGCTTAATGGTTGAGCAGGTTCCTGGGTCCCAGCCAAGGGCGAGGCTAGGCAAGTTTCAGCCGAGTCAGCGGCAGCAACAAGCGGTGGCGCGCAAGGATAATTCATGCACGTGCTTGAGCTGGATTTAGCCTCTGCCTTGTCGTGCAAACGGCTCAGGTGGCTGAGAACGGGGCGGGAGAGTGTGTGCTGTCTGTGTAATCCTGTCTAGGGCCGTCGTTACACGTCAGGCAGGTGAAGGAGGGCAGCCCTGGGACTTGAGCCTTGAATTGAGGTGAGACCTCCAAGGTGAGGAGGATTCGAGGCCGTTGGTTCCTGCAGGAAATGAGCGTCGACCGTTTGGCACGAGCGCAGGCACATGTGAGATTCATTCGTATCTGTGAGCACAGGGACACACAGACAGATGAAAAGCAAGGTACATCATGTCTTGATGTCGTTGGTGTTGTCTGTAAGTGACGTTCCATTTGGCGGGGAGACGAAAATTGGTATGGATGAAAGCTTGGGACGCTGAATGATTAGCAGCGGAGAGCAGGGGGGAAGGACCACCTGCCAACCAGCATCATCATCCAACGGCAAGTTCCAGAAGATGGTCAAGGAAGGAAGGAAGCAGCCAGCCCTAGCTACTTGCCTAACCTGACTAGCTGGCTGCAGTATCTACCTTAGGGAGGGAAAGAGCAGACGGCAATCAGCCCGGAACGTAAGAGCTAGAGTTCCTCGCAACAGACCCAGCAAACCTTCAATCTCTCCTCCCACCGAACTCATTCCCCAGACCGACCCAGACCAGGCCTCCATCTTCCAAAGCTTGTTGGTGTGTGATGCAGACACGCCAGTCACTAGCGGGAACCAGGGCGGGACAGACTCCTGGCACGGATAGGTGCTGATACACGCTCCGACTCATTTTAGATCCGCGCGTTGATCCAACTGGCAAGTTTCGTCTCATGTGTGTCGACTTGAGTCTCGGGGCTCTCCACCGCATGCTATTGTCGTCAGGGGTGCTGCATCATCGAGTGTCCAACACCAACTTCTCAAACACGGGCACCCCTCCCCGGTACCTGTTCCATCACGGAGGAACAACCGGAAATAGAATAACTCATGAGGTGTCTAGGGCCGGGACGAAGGACGAAACGCCGCCAGAAGCGCGGTAGACTTCGACTAGAAGTCTTTGCGGTGACACTTGTTTGATCATCACCCGTCCCATCAATCCTACCACGGCGACGCTATCGGCAATGGGATGCGATGGGATGTTCAAGTCCCAAACAGAGTTCCTGCGCGACACCTTGGCTTGGGCTAGCTCCTCGCAAGAATTACTTACTGCTGCTGCTCATCCAGTTGAGTCGCTCGCACTGACGGCAGCATCATTCTTCTCGAAACGCCCCTGGCACTTCTCTGGAAGTCGATCCGATGGGGGGGAGCCCTGCATGCAGCAGATTTAACGAGGGTAACCAGCCATTGGCTTGTGCCCTTCCCCCCTTGTGCGCTGTCGACCCGTCCCAGCAAGGCATATCCTCATGATGGGTGATTTTTTGCAAGGTGCATGGCCGAAACAGAACTCAACGGTCTTGTCTGTCATGGTTCAGCCCGTTTGACAGGCGAGATCCCTTTCTTTTTCCTGCGCATCATTCGCAGATCCTCCAATCTCCCGGCCCTCCCACCTCGACAACATTCCGCCTCTGTTTTTAGAAACACCCCGGCATATCCACCCCGGCCAACCTTCCTTTCGAATCCCTGAGTTTCTGGTTTCCTGGATTCCTGGATCTTGTTGACGGACCGAAGTCTAGTGCACCTCGACCACTACCACGACTTGCTTGGAGCAGGGGGCATGCTTGAAAGTGCTTCACAGGCTGGTGGACCTCAATGCTCGCCAGCCGAGCCAGCCTTTCCAAACACCCAATCGACGCCCATGGACAGCATTGTTCTCGGCCCCCCCAATCCGCCAGTTTGCAAGACGCCATTTGCCCATCGTGACTCGACCTGACACTAGTGCAGGTCCATCCATCCACCGTCCTGGGCGTTCCCGGCTCCGCGCCCCGGGGGCTCGGCTGCGTCAAACAAAATGCTCTTCTACGCCGACGGGCGACGGACACCGCGCTGGTCTGGCACCTGCAGACGAATGAAGAAATTGTTTCAGGTCAGTCTATGGGGGGAAGAGTACGAGAAGGTGAGAGGCATGTACTACTCCAAAATAGCAGGTGTGCCACCTTCGGGCAGAGGGAGAGGGGAATGAATCCAGCTTGGTACGCATCGAGGATGGAAGCAGCAGCAAGCATCACCACCACCACCACCACCGGCCGGGAACCTCGAGGTGGATCGATGAGGTCAAAGAGTAAAAAATAACCACCGGTGGATCCCAGAGGCTAGACTCAATGCCCAAGGCAAGCATGCAGGCCTGATATTCATGTGGCCAGAATGCACTCCCAGGTCAGGGAGCTGGGTAAGGTTCAATGGAGACCGTGATGGAGTATCGAGATGATCAAGGCGAGGGCATATTGCTCTCGTCGGTCAGAGATGGAGTTGCTAAATTCATACAGGACTCCAGTCTTTCGCATTGCTGTTCGCTGTTGGGTTTGGATGATATCAGCGCTCGCTGCCAACGAACCCTTGACCCCGGAGACCTGTTTCATGCGGGGGCTACCGAAAAGTGCAGAGCATCATTAGATGTTATACCGCCCCTTGCCTATAACTGAGGACCCGAACTACCGTTAAGCTGCGTCTAGCCACCGCACTTAAACAAGGTCTGTAGGGTAATGCTTGGTTGAAGCCGCGGCGCATTAGATGGATGACACTTGACCCGTCCCCTTGGATCCCTCTATTTTGCATGAAGCAAGCATTGTCAAAAGAGAGAGAAGAGACAAGAGTCAACCTCCAGCATAAAGTCGGTGAAGCAGCCTCGAGTTGCTGCCATGGCATAGCATGATGGCCTTCATGGTGGTCAGCGAGCCGCTCAATGTGAAGGACGTGCGGCATGAGGAAACAGAGCCAATTCGTTAACTCCCTGCACCCAAGCGCAAACCAACACACGGCTTGGGATGTGCAGAGACGGATGCAGAATTAGTGCGTTGTCCAGAAGGGAGTTTGCCTGAGGGATGCGGCTTCAAGGCCTCGCAACCTCCAGGAACTCAGTCCGCTCGCAAGAAGAATCTTTCCCAACAGCCAATGAACTAAAGAATCCACCTGAAGGCGGCCATACAGATGATAGCTTCCGGGTAAGAACCGGTAACAAACGGCCTCCTTGCCTAGGTAGATCGGCTCTCTCATGTCAGAGTGAAGGCTCAATCTCTTAGCCCCCACTGGAGGGTTTGACGCACACAAGAGCCTACTACCCAGGATACGCAGGGTAACTACAGAGGCCGAGGGCTTCAGCTTGCAGGAGGTGGCGAGATGGAGAAGGGACCCGGATAAGTGTCCCGTCGGTTGAGCAGATTGTCTGATCCAAGCTTCAGCGCTCAAGACGCGGCTGCAGCGGCCTCTGACGGATAACTACAGTTACACAAATGGTGGTGACTTGACCTGGGACGAGAAGCCGCTGGTTGCCACTCAGATTCACCATTGTCTGTGTTCTGGATTCAGGGCATTATCCCTGTCTCCTGATTTCATCTTGTCGAGAATGGATGGCCGTGTGTTACTCTGAGACGCGTGTCCCGCCAGCTCGCAATACAACAGATTGAGCTGCGCCCGGATCGGATCAAAGAGAGAAGCCTCACTCACAGCCCAGTCGCATTGAAACCATCTGTTGGCAATCGTCCAGCCTTTCATCTGGCATTCATCCCATCGCATCGTCAGCATCCTGCAACCAACCTCCAACTCGCCATGGATCTCCACTCCCGTGGACCGTGAGCAGGCATCCAACCAACCAACCAACCAACTCCTCGGCACCGCCGCAGCGCAACACCAACAGGTGGCATCCAAGCATAACGCTCCCATTAAGAGGCAGCCTCCTTCATGCTGGGCGAGCCGCCCTCGGGCACCGTGACACGTCCAGTCATCCCATTGACCCTCGGGCGCCTGAAGGGCTCCCCTGTGTGCGCGAGGAGGCTTAAGAGCCGTATATTATGCAGAAAAGGGGCCCTCTTTAAGCGGTGTGACTCTGATTGGAAGACGTGTCATATCTACAAGGATGGCTTCAGCGAGATAAGCGCTCTTGCGGATTGAAATGGGATATTGTTGGTTCATCGAACGCCAGCGAAGGAAAGAGAAGTCGAATATGAGTCAAGGCGATCGAGGCCGTATAGATGATGGCAGGGCTTACACGCCTGGCTATTGTCATCGCCTGGCAGCCTTCTGATATAGCCTTGCTATGTCTTAGTGGGGGTGCCTATATTTCTCTTCTGTGTTGTTGATCAGGAACCCGTACGAGGCATGTTAGAGAAACCCAGCCTTTGAGGGATCAACACGTGCACCTGAGTTGTCTTTACGCCATTGTTGCTGTTTCACTGACCGAGGCTGAAGGACAACAACTTCTCGCTTCCAAGCCGAGGCAGCAACCAGGGGGGAGGTGTATGGCAGAGTGTTGAACTGATCTGCCCACACATGCCCCGTTGTCGACCTTGTGCCCATTTCGCAGCCTGATTTCCACCACCGTGACAGACAGAAGAGAGTATAAGATCATCCAAACTAAATTGTAGAATCTCGCTTACCAGTTCTGGGCGCTTACCACGGCGCAGCACGCATAGCCGAGGAGCTGTCCCCCGGCAAAGCACATGCAGAAGAGGTCTCGCACACCGTTTCCTCACCTGAGTTTTCTCTGTGACAGTTCATATGGGTGGTATTGAAAGACTCGGCCTGACGGTGAGAAGAGGGGCACATACCGAGTCTCTCTCTCTTTTAGTACTGAGCATGAACTTAGTTGAGTTGCTTAACGCACAGTAACTTGGCACTTACGGGGCAGACATCGTGAGATGCAAAAAGATGGGGCAAAACACATACAACACCGGGCATTCGCCGGTCGTCACCGACCCGACTACTACTCCAGCGGTCGCCAGTTTGACTAAGGGAGAGCGGACGGGATCCCGTATTCTCTAGCGCCTATGGTCGTATGTGCTTGGTTTGATATCGAGAGGCTCTATGGGGCTGTGTGTGGATGGAGTTGAAAGCCAGGGCTTTGCATGGGAAGCTATGACTTGGGTACTTGAGGCCTATCAACTCTACGAGTTGTGGAAGACATGGAAGACGATGGCGAAGATTATGCCTTGCGGAATAGGCTCTATCTTGGTTGTCGTACGCAACTCTATATATCCGGTAAGTAACTCTCCCTCTCCCGGCATACTATAGGGCCGGCTGACAGCTTGAGGTTTCTAGTTGACCTGCATACAACTCTTCTCTCTTGTCAAGATACTCCCCAATCGCATGCAACAGTCCAAACTTGTCCATCCAACTCGACATCCCACACCGGCTGACCGACTTCGACAACATTTCCGACAGTAACAGCCGCCCTCCGTCCAAGTCCCGTCAACCTCCCCTCCCCCGCGAGCAGGAACCTCCTCGCCGGCGCAGCACCGTCATCGCCCGTCCGGCCCGTGACCAAGTACATCCGACGACCCGGCCGAACCTCTTCAACAACTACCTTGACAACGGACACGGCGGCGGCGAGCGGGACCGTGCCCTCCCAACCCTTCACCTCCGAGAGCCACCCCTGTAGTCCGGCCGCAAGCCCGCTTGCCACATACTTTGCGCCCCGGCGCTGGGGGGAAAACGCCGCGGGGAGACCTTCGACCGTGGGGTCGACCTCTGCTGGTTTGAAACGCGGCGGCGGGCGAAAGATTGGCTGTTGAGGTGCCCTTGCCTCGTCGTGTGTTGGGATGGCGTCCTGTAGACTCTCTACCGAACTCTGCGTAGGCGTGTGCTCCCTATCTTCCGCTTCTTGGAGATTTTCGTCGTTTAGATAGTGGTGTTCGCCAAGTGGACTTGACTCTGGCATTGGTGAGATGGAGACTCTTCGCCGCTTGGGCTCTCTCTCTTCCAGGGGAGATGCATCATGAGGCAGATTTAAAAGTCCGGGCGATTCACGTTCGATAGATCCCCGAGACATCTCCTCCTCATCATCTTCAGAGATGCTGATGCCGACACTGCCATCCCGCGAAGCCGTTACATCATCATCTTCGACCTCGATGGAGTCGTTGAGAGGAACATGCTTCCTCGTCTCAAGCCCTTCATCATCTGCATTCGAAGAACTCTCCTCGACGAGATCATCAACTTCTTCTACATCCTCAATATCGACAATGGCGTGACTCTGTGTCGGCCTAGGAACATATGAAGAGCCAAAGCGGGGAGTCGACTGAAATCTCGGAGGTCCTGTAGGAGTCTGCGACGACTGTGTAGCGCCGCGTTTCGCAAGAAGAAATCTCCTCGGCGTAGGCGTCTAAAATTTTCATCAGAAGAAAGTTCCCTCTATGGCGTGAATGATTGAGCATCTCACACTTGGAGGAGGGCTCATGGTCTTGTGTGAGCGTGCATGGCGGCTGCACCACGACCATGTGAGGAGCCCGTGTGTGGCTTGGTTCTCGACGACGGGTTGCCGCTTGCTAGTGAAAGCTGCTCCATGCGTGATCCATGCTCTATAGAGGATGCTAGGAGTGATGGATGTTGCTTGAGCGTGACGTGAATAGAGTGAGTGACGTTGATGATGGAGTTGTGATGGAGCGGTAAAATCTCGGGTCTCACCCACGACGTAAGCAAGTTCCCATCTCGACCTCTACCTTAGTTGGATATCAACACCATCACAGCGATGAACCAACAAGCACGACATTATTCTCCGTGTCCATCTACCAGGCATCTCATCCCAATTACCGTGTTTCGAATACACTCTATACGCCACAAAAGTTCTTTGATCAAAAGTGACATGTGGAGCTTTCATTTCAAGGGACCATCTATCTCTATCCCTCTCCTCCCTGTCTTTCCGTCTTGTGTGTCTCTTACACTTGATACATACATTATGCAAAAACCGACAATGGATCCCAACTCCCACAAAACGCCCGGCTGTGCATCTCCTATTTCTCTCCCTTTCTAGAACGCGATGCGACAGTATCTTCCACAATCATAGTACAATGTCATCCCCTGGTAGAACCGTCATTAGGGAGGGTCCAACAAGACCCTTGAGCAAGATGGTAACAAGAAGATCACGAATCATATGGCGCCTGAAGATCAGCCATAGGCCAACTCAAAGGTGGTCTCATGACCCTCTGAGGTTGGCTCAGTGTTCTTGACCTGGTGCAGCATGATCGGGGGCAAGCATGGGCGGCCATGCCTCTCCTCCCACTCTCGGCCGCCAATGCCGGTATCGACCCAACCCATCCAGTTGTTGTAGAGTCGGTTGGGTGGTATGGCTCTGTAGTACCAAGTTGAGCCGATATATCTTCGCTCACGTCCCCAGCCCATAGGACTGCCGCGGCCACCGCATTCGCCATTCTCGCCGGGGTTGAACCACTTGTTCAAGAACTTTCCGTTCCAGTCTCGGTCCATAAAGACAGGATGGGGAGCATACACTGCCTTGAGACCATGCAAAAGAGCGACTGTCTGTGGCGTCATCTCAGAGGCCACATGGTTTCCACGGAGGTTCTCGACGTGCATGATGTTGAGGAGACGCTTGGAGACTCGAGACTGTGTGACAATCGTGGTTCGTCGGGGGACATCCTGGGATCGGTGTGTCGAATCATTGTAGCCCCAGACTTGGTTAGCAATGACCCAGTTGCTACCGATAGGGTTGAACATGGGCGAGACGGTAATCATGTCGGCTTCCTCGCCGACTCCCCATTCATAGTTGTCCTGCGAAGGCCTCTCGACCGGAGGCTTGGGCCCGATAGGGTTGATGAAGGGCAGGTTCGGGGGGCCCCAGATGGTGTCATCGCCGTATCGGCCCTCGACGTCCTTGCGGAAAGCCGAGTCATAGTCGCCGTGGAACAACGGGATGTACCACCTCTCGTTCCTTTCCCAGAGCAGCTTTCGAGGCTGTGCCTTGGCAAACTCTCCGAGCTTGTCCAGAAGGTGATAGTGGTGGCCAGTGAAGCGGAAATCCATTTCCCAGTTCCAGACATAGTCAAACTGTGGGTAGTCTTGGCTGAACTTTTGCACAGAGAGCCACTGCGCTGTGTGGACATTTCGTGATTCCTCGTCGGTCAACTTCGGGTAGAGGTTCCAGACAACTTCATCATTCCAAAGGATCGTCATGCTGCGGAACTCGGCTGGAACACTCTGAGACAGAACCGACTGGTAAACTTCGTCATCATCGAAGATGCGGAGGTTGTTGTCCTTGACCTGGACCAGCAAGAAGACCTCATACTGGCCACCAGTCTTGAGAGACAGCTCAGAAACGAGGGCACGGATCACCTGCTTGTCGTTCTCCGTGTAGTCCTTGCCGGTGTAGGAACGCAGAAGAATAGCAGTTCGGGCCTCGGAAACAAAGCCGGTTGTGGGGTTCTTGGTGCTTCTGCCGATACGAACATGCTTGTCCAAAGACTCGTCGAAGCCGTCCAATGGCTTGTTGGCAGTTTCATCCGCATTTTCATGAGACTCGCTGAAGGACTCATCAGGAGATTCGGTCGAAGGCGCAGTGCTGGGCTCGCTAGAGGTCTCGTTGAGAGGTGCATTGACAGTTCCATCATTAGGATCGGCTGATGGCTCTTCCCGAGACCGGTCCGGGGACTCGTTGGAAGCGTTGTTAGAATCCTGCTCTGATACGGTTTCGTCGACATTGGGTGCTTGCAGTGTGACTTCAATTTGTCGCTTCATGAGGTTTGGCCGATCACCCTGGCCAGCTGGCACAACAGGGGCGACTGGAGCAACCGGCGCAACCGGAACACCAGGAGCGGCTTGCTCAGCTGACGCACCACCCGGCAAAACTGGCGCAACTTGTCCAGGGACATCGGGTTGCTCAGGCAGCTGAGGTCCAATGACAGTCTCTGGGTACACGTTAAGGTACTCGTTGACACGCTCTCTGTTCATGTCGAAACGCTGAGCGTTTCTGTGAAGACAGGCCCGTTGGAGATCGCCCCAGTTGACAGTGTCCCAGTTCAGAGGCTGAGGCTCGCCACCGACCTTCTTATACTGACGGTGCAGACCATAGGGACCAAGTCGTGTCTCCCGCTCCCAGCAGAGGTTGGGGTCCATATTCAAAGCGTCGAAGCTACCAAAGCGAGGGAGCGGCCACTCGCGTGGTCGTCCCTTGAAGACGAGAAGGTCCTCGACAACCTCTCCATTGGCGCCCTTGCAGGGGAAGTACTGGGCATAGCCAGCCTCCTTCCAGGTGGCGCTGTTGTATGAAGGATAGGGGTCGTAGCGAACTGGCTTCTCGGCACTGTACTCGACATCGGCATCAGCGTCGAATCGCAAGTCTTTGCTGAAGTCATCGGATCGCTGTTCCTGGAACTCGAGGTTCGCCAACGTCTTTCCGTAAATGAGGTTCGAATTGGGGAAGCTGGAGCAGGCACAGTTAGCTTGAGTTGGTGTGAGCAGAGATCATGAGTACTTACTTGGAGGTGACGGAATAAGCGTGTCTCCATTCCTTTCTCATATCCTTCTCATGTTGCAGCTTGCCGAGAGACCCGAAGCCTCTGTCCTTTCCATCAGTCTCGTAGCCAGGCTCAACATCATTGGGGTCCTCGTTGTCGGTAGGATCCCACCAATCCTTAAGATCTTGAGCCGTGAGCTCCCACAGTTCTCGCTGAATGCTAGAGTATTGATCCTCGGTCTGTTCGTTGGGTTGAGTATTGGCGCCGTTGCCATTGCCACTTCCAGGTTGGGCCTTGGGGTCGAAGGGGACAACTTGAATGTTGGGACTTCCGCTGAACAAGAGAAAGTAGGCCGACACCATAGCAAAGGTGATTATCACCATGGACCTAGGCCGAAGCTTGACGCCAATCATGCGCCGCCCATGAGGATGCCATTTCTTCATGGTGGGCAAAATATTCGACAGAGAAGACAGCGAGGATGTGTAGTTCAAAATCTATCGAGGTCGTCGCAATCGAAAATGAGATAGTGAACGCGTTGAACAACGATCAGTGGCGCATCATTCGGAAGACGACGAGGTGATTACTGTCGTTTGGTGCGACGCGAGGGATGAATTTCGACGAAAGGGAGTCGAGTCAAGCCGAGCCGGGTCGTTCAAGGCCAAGGATCGTATGCCTCTTTTTAGTAGATCGCAAAATGCAAGTCCCTTTCGATTCGGAGCCGAGATCTTCTTGCAAAGGAGTGTCGCGGCCTCTATCAAAGAAGGCCAGCAAGCAAGATGACACGCAGAAGAGAGACGGTGACGTTGCAAGAAAGAAAAAAATTAAAAAGAGGCCAGACGCTACGTCTTGAGAGAACGAATGCGAATGGCAGAGAAAAAGGGAGGGACCAAAGTTCTCAAGGGAGGGTGAGATGGATGGGATAGGACGGAATGCGGGTGCGGATGACGAAGCGCAGATGGATTGGACAGCACATGGACCGTCTACTCTAATTAGGGGGATATGGGTGTGCGGGCGGGCAGGAGGTGGCGCGACACTGGCGCGTACGGCGCCGTTAGTGGAGGGGACTCTAAACTCCAGCACTCCAGGTCTCTGTACATGCGATGCGCCAGGTCCATCGCCTCAACCTATCCCGAGCCGTTGGTGATCTTGTGAATTCCAAAGATGGAATGGAACTTGAATACGGTATCCTTCCCTTCACACGAGAGCATCCCCATTGACCCTCTTGTCTACGAAATCACCTCGCCAAGACACAAGCTGGGTTTCACATGATTAGAGCTATTGGATGGATAGACATTGCCCGCCCTTGCCTTGCTGCGACGACCTTGCTTGACGAACCAGAAGCATTCAATGACTCTCTGCTCTTTACAGAGTACACGTCTATCAATGGATATCAATCTGACATGAGAGCACTGTCATCAAAGGCTGAGTATCAAGCAAGTGAGCCTCGAATATTTCAACCCCGAGGGGCCGGGTCCCACCACTTCTCGCCATCCCCAGGCTCTCATCAACAGGCCAAGCCAGCGCTGATCGTCCTACTTTTAGAATCCGCTTCGCTTCTCCATAACCAGAACCTTTTAGCGCAAGCGTGACCCTGAAAACCGCGCGGTCTTTGGGCGGGACGCCAAGAATCCCTAGCTCCCGTTGTAACGGGATCGTTCTCCACGCTTCATTACGGAGATTTTGGACTTTGCTTCTTTTTTTCTAACCCACAATCAGGACATCTTTTTTGTGCCTCGGTTGATTGCTTCTAGTAGGTTAAGTGCTGTCAGAGATGACCGAACTCAGGCAGGTCCATGATGAAGGAGAACTGGGTCATACTCAGTCAGTTATCAGCAATATGGAAAGTCAAGAACAATACCCTTGACTCTGCCGCTTATCTCAAGGAGACGATCACGGAGAAAAAGACCAAGGGAGTGTTACAAGATCTATAAACGACCAGAAAGCTCGCTTCAAACCCAGACGAGAATCACCTCCCTCGTTAATGCCTTTCCACATTATCCTAGAAAACTAAAAAGCCAAAGGCTTGACATTATTAGGCGTCAATAATTCCTCCGGCTCCGATTTTGTCACCTCCCTTACCCCTGAATAACGACCGAGGGCGTCGCGTGGGAAAATGTCCAGATAAAGGCAAGCCACAGCGGGACCATGAACGACAAGAAATCCGTTCAGGGGTTCAAATTCATCCTCGGTTGACAGGCCCCAATTAGACATTTAATATCCAGTCATTACAAGGGGGCCAACATCTCAATCCCAGTAAGAACATCAAAAGTAGTCTCAACTATAATTCAATTAGGGAGACGTCAAGTCTGTACTCATCACAATGCTATGCCGCCGAGGCCTATCCTGCCAAATGCTCATCCCGTACTCCAAATCTCCCCCATGATTGCTGGCAACGGATCATACCCATAAATCAGGACAATAAAGCCGCCCGCACTGATGCTCAAAAACAGGTCCGGGAGGATCTCTCTATATAAACAAGTGCTTCGGGGAAGGGTTCAAAAACAGGGGGGGTATAATAACGACAAAAACGTCCACATGCCAGCTCAACTCCCCGCACAAAAACCAGCAAAAGCAGACAGAGTTATAGTATCCGCGTCCTGGACGCGTCAAAGATCAATATTACAAGACAAGGTAGTGGGTTCCATATAGCGTCGTAGCGTTCGAAGCATATGAAGCGAATTATACATCAGGTCGTTACATCATGCCAAGGCGAGTGTTGCGCTTGTTCATCCGGGGTCGGGGGCCAGGGGGTCCGAGAGGTCCGGGTGCAAGGCGGTGGCCTGGCGGCGGCATGCCATACGGAGGTCGCGGGAGACCCATGCCAGGGCCGAGCCGTTGTGCGGGATGGCTGGGGAGACCAACCATGCCGTTCGGGGGTCGGGATCCGGACGCTGACCGAGCGGGTGGTCCCTTCATGGGCCCGTTGGGGTCCATGGGCTGTCCATTGGTAGAGATCCAAGGTTGTTGAACTCGTCGCCAGGCATCCCGTTCGCAGTATGACTTGCCATCCACCTCAAAGTAGCCTTCAGAGAGGGATCGGCCGCAGTCGAGACATCGGAAGCAGCCAACGTGATACTTGATGGCAAACTCGTCCTCCAGGTATTGTCCTTCGATACCGTTCGCGCAGCTTCCGCAGAGACTGCCGTTGAGCTTGTGGTAGTGGTGCTCGCAGTAAGGCTTGTCGTCGAGAACGTAGAACTCGGCCGACGTAAAAGGCTGGGTGCACGTTGTGCAGACAAAGCAGGCCTTGTGGTATTTTCCTGTCAATCTTCCATCCGCTGAAGAGATACTCTTTCCTGTAATAGCAAGCTTGCAAGCCTTGCAGTTACCCCTAGACCTCACGGGATCTTGAGAACCCTTTCGCATGGGAGGTGCTAGAGGGGCGGGGATATTGCTGGCTCCACGGCCTGCTTGGGCGAGGGGGTCGTGATGGTATGGGTCTTGCGGCGAGGATCCATAGGCCGGGAACAAGTTTTGCTCGCTTGGTCGTTCTCGGGTCTCGACCTGAGGTCCATTTTGAGTGATAAAGTCCGGCTTGTGGTCTTTCGGAGAAATTTCCAGGGGTGACTCCGCAAGGGGTGACTTGGTCCGAGAAGGGACCTGTAGTGGAGCAGGGTCCTTGGAACCCAAGCTCTCCATTGAGGTTTCCAGGTCAGTCATCAAACCATCCATAGTCGATGTGTCTGAATGGTCGCGACGGGCTTGAGATCTCGCCTGGCTGGTCTGGGAGCTGCCACGGCTCTGGTGGCTAAAAGTCGAGTAGCCAGAAGATGTTGAGTCAGAAGGCGTGTGATAGGGATTGTTGACACCGAATTCAGCGGCAAGATCAACCGATGCTGAAATCTTGCCGGGATGTTGCGGCCGAAGCAAACTCTTGCGTGGAGGAGGTGGTCTTGATGTGTCTGGTCCCATGGATGGCCTTGATACATGACCACGACGATCCTCGGCTTTGACCAGCTCAGGCTTCGTTCCCGGTGCTGAAGGTGTCCTCAAAGGTGGCTCTGGCCTGAATGATGATTTCGGGAATGTATCGGAGCGGTTAATGAGTCCCAGAGGCTGGGGTTGGAGTTGATCATCCGAATCATAAGGGTTCCCAATCCCTTCATAGTCGTCCCTCGATGGCCGCGGTGGCGGTACAGCGCTGATGGTGTTGCTTCCCGTGGGAGATGTCGACATGTCGGTTCTGTTCGAGATGTAGATGTCTTTTGGCGACGCACTCAGAAAATCGTCGTGCTTAGTGATCGTGTTATTAGTGCTGCCAGTTATTTCTTTTGGAAATGATGGTGATGTCGCTGAGGGGCTGCGGATAGCATCGAAAGGGCCTGGCGCGATCGTGTCGAGTCGTTTGAGTAGTGTATTATTCACTCCACCGTTAGGGCTAATAGAGCGAGGTTGCATGTCCGGACCATGCTTCTTCTCACCGAAGCCTCCATATGCGCCAGGTCGCTCGACCGGGCGCGGAGACGGCATGATCAGGTCATCTTCATGAGGTGTTGGGGCTGAATCAAAAAAGGTTCCCATTCCGCCTGGTGGTGATAGATCACTGTTTGGTGTAAGCTGCCCTTGACGCAGAAAAGGCTGGTCTACAACATCGTCAGCGACTCCTTAACCCAATTTGCTAGACCAACTCACTGGCAGCATTGACGTCAAGTGATGGTGGTACCCGGCCATGCTTTTCGGGAGGTGGTACTGGGCTGTATGGCGTGTAGGGCTCGTACTCCTCTGGCGGCGGTGAGACTATTATCGAGTCAGTACCAGGCGCAAGATGGATTTTCTTCAATGTTCTTACGTTCAGGTTCTGCCGGGGTACAGATGTGCTCGCCCATGAGAGATATTTCTACTTGGTTACCACATGACGAACATTTGATGGTCGGTAGAAACATGGACTCTCGTGGGACAGCCATGGTGACGGTGTGTTGTGTCGCAATCGGTGAGGATATCCAGCTTTATTCGACACAGAAACTCTTCCAATCTGCATTAAAGCGATGCCGTCCAGTTTCGCCAGCCAAAGTGTGAGAATGGGCCTTGTGGAATGCGCAGAACGGACGATAAACGCAGGTTCTGTTGCGGTCGTCTCAGCAGAGCGCTTGATGTGAGACCTTTACATTCGTACCCCAGGCCAGTTCTGTGACCGGTGTTCCTGGGGTCGATGACGGCAGCGAAATATGCCAAAAGGCAAGTCAAAGCTGTGATGAATGTTACGGCCGATAAACTGTCAAGTTGCAATGTCAAGATCGGTTTGAGCTGAACTGAAGAGTCGAGAATCCCTGTGGAATTGCCGCGTCGGTGGTCGGGGTAGTATCCAAGCGAGTCAGTCGGTGAGCGATGTCGAGGATGAGAATACGGTTCGTCTCGAGTCCAGCCTCGTCGTCGTTCAACTGAAAATGACTTGCAGATTCAGCAGAAAACAAGGAACAGAACGGAAAGAAAGAGGCGAAACACG